GTTGTTGTTGTTTTTATTTTTAAAGCTACAAGTTCATTCATTGTTGGAGGTCTTGTATTTCATTGTCCCTCAAGAATTCAGTCCAGTGAACAGACCCCCTCATGAGCCTTGGGGATCTCTGGGAGAGGCACGTTGGTGTGTGGAGGCTCCTGCAGTTCAGGGCGTGTCCCACGTCCATATCCACCGCTCTGCTCTCAACTGAGGGGTCAAGCAGAGTCACAAGGTCCCACGGAAGGCAATGGCCCAGAAAGTGCTACACTAGTGTGGCCAGACAGTACAGAGACACAAATGTTTGATGAAGCATGACAGCCAGCGAGGGGTGTGACACTCAACACACACTCTACTCTGTCATTCACCTTGTTGTGCCTCAGTCTTTTCATTCTATCCATCTTCCGTCACAGACTCACGAGGATAAAATGAGATAACACATGAGAATTCTGAACTCAGGGCCTGCTGTGGTTGTGTACTTGGTCACTGAAAGTTGTTGATAAACACTTGAAAAACCTTTCAGGACCCATAAGGATGATGAATAGCTGCTTCGTGTTCCCTCCAGGAGCGGCAGGTCAGGAGCTGCAGGTGATTCAGCCTGACACGGCAGTGTCCGTTGCAGCTGGGGAGAGCCGGGGAGTCGGCCACTCTGCGCTGCACTGTGACCTCTCTGCTTCCCCTCGGGCCCATTCAGTGGTTCAAGGGGGAAAGGACAGACCGGCAGTTGATCTATAAATTACGAGGAGGCCCCTTCCCCCGAGTAACACCCGTGGCAGACATCACAAAAAGAAACAACACGGACTTTTCCATCCGCATTAGTGACATCACCCCCGCAGACGCCGGCACATACTACTGTGTGAAGTACAGGAGAGAGACTTCAGGGGACATGGAGTTTAAGTCTGGACGAGGCACGGAGCTGTCTGTGCATGGTGAGTATGGCAAGGCCTCCTTTATTCCCTCCTGTGTGACAATAGGTCAGTACCTATGCACTCTTTCTTTGAGTAGCTTCTAAGAATCGAGGTTCTGGCCACTCATCTCCATGGTCTAAAGTCACCCTGTCTGCAGTTCAGGGATAGAGGCCTAGAGAGGCCGTGCTGGGTGCTCAGGGCCCAGGGCGGGGAATGGTGGGAAATCTGGGCCCCCCAGCCTGCCTGGCTCCGCAGCCCTGGCCTTTCCCATCTGGCCCAGCTCTTTGGTTGCACAGATGGGAGCTGATGGTTTGAGTGACTTGCCCAGTCACAGGCCAGACCTCTCTGCTGCCCCAAGAGAGTGGGTCCCCTCAGGGTGCTGTGTCTCCTCTCTGTGAACAAGCTCTGAGAGTTGACTGGGTGCTGACTCTGCTGTGGCTTTTGGGAACAGGAGGGGATAGTGAGGCCAAGATCTGTTGCTCCACGCTGACCTGCTCTTCCCTTCAAGGAGGAGAACTCAGCCTGGGAAGGGAGGATGGAATATTTTTATTTCCTCTTTACAAATATCTCACTGAGAAGAACCTTCTAAGAGACTCAGATTCCCAGTTTAATCTGACAGGAGGCAGGGGAGTGCTGTGCTCCCTCCCGCATTTCAGGGATCAATTCCCACAGCTCCGAGCATGGCTGGGTTATCTGCATGTCCCCCACTTCAGAGAAGGGGTTTCCATGTGGGCAACTAACTAGGGGCTTCCCACTCAAGGCAGCAGAGATGCTCAGGTTGGCTTCCTACCAGAGGCCCAAGGTTCTCTTTCTACCTTTTTTTTTTTTTTTTCTATTTTAGAGAGATTTTTGCCATAGGGCATGTACGCTCACAAGAGAGACAGAGAAGAGAGACAGAAAGTGAGAAATCACCTTTCAGGGGAATGGCCACGCTACAATCCCTTCTCCTCCATTCTCCTCTCAGGACATACACACATGTGCCCAACATGAGTTTTAAGCTGCCTCTGGGACTTTGAACATTTGTCTATGTGGGAGTCCAGAGATGTAACCATTAAGCCATCTGCTGATCCTGCTCTTTCTAACTTTTGGGTCGTGTGGTGTCAGTTCACGAGGGACTTTTCAACACCTGTAGCCCAATCCCCGTTTACAGACAGGTTGAGACTAAGAGACCACAGAGGTGTGTGATTCACCAGGGTGCTCAGTCCTCCCTGCCAGGCCCTTGGCCTCAGTGACATCCTGGATGAGGCAGGAGGGAGACTGGGAGGGGCGAAGAGCTGCGGAAGCTGACATTGTACCTCGATGATGGCCTTTACCCGTCCTAACCAGTGCTGAAGGAGGGCCATTTGTTGCCTATTTTGAGATGAACACACTGAAGTTCAAACAGGGGACTTGACATGTGGGAGGGAGGGGAGTCAAGGCCTGGACCCACCAGCCTGACCCACAACCCCAGGCTCTGCAATGCCCATTGTGTTTATCAAAATGTGGACTGAAGCTCCAGCCTTCTAAAATTTTGTTCTATAGCAATTATAAGAAAAAAAAAAAGAATTGAGTTGTTATGTAAGGCTGTGTGACCTTGGGTGACCTAGTTCCCTCTCTTGAGCCTCAGTTTCCCCATCTATAGAATAGACTCAATTGTTCAACCTTTCTGGAATGTTACTGAGACACAGTGAGCCTGGTGAGAGAACAGACCCCCAGGAGGTGCTGGGGTTGTCAGCTCAAAGCCAGGAGCCAGTCTTGGCTCTCCAAAGTTCTCTTTTCCCCTCTGGGAAATGGCAGTCATGGCCACTGTTTAGGGTTCTGGGAGGCCTGAGGGGACACAAACAAAGCCCTGTGGGGTGTTGGTTAGTACTGAGTGTCAGCAGTGTCACAGGATGGCACAGGCCCGAGCCAGCTGCCTGGCCTACATCCCAGCTCTGCCACCTCCCATACCTGGGACTGCAGACAGGGAGGGCACTCCACACAGTGGCCTGGGGTCCTGCCCTGTTGATGATGACCCGTCTCATGGGGCTGGGCAAGGACTGGGCCGTTACATCCTCTAACACGCTTAGGGCAATGCCTGGCGCATGGCAAATGTTCAATAAATGTGAGCTTTGTTACACCCACGTCATGGAACATGTCACCTTTCCTCAACAAACATAGGTATAAATAGGGTTAAGATGAGATCAGAGGCTTCAACTTTGATGGTTAAATCCCATGGAAATCTTTGAAAGCATCATCACGTCAGGCAGCATCCTTGAAATTTTGAGCTAACTGTCTGACATGGGCCTGGGCACCAGGCGTTTTTATTTACTTTGGAAGATTCTGAAATACAGTCAGGGCTGAGAATCCCTGAGCTAGATGTTCCCAGGACTCACAGGAAAAGCTGCATTTTCCTTTTGAAAAAGGTGGTTCCCACAGTGGAGGTTCTAGTGGCCTTGCAAGGACACCTTCACTGAGCAAGAGCAGGCCTCAAGACTTGAGCACAGTAAATTTGAAAAAAAAAAAAAATTGCCAGAGGGTACATGTACTTGCCAGGGAGAAACAGAAAGAGAAAAAGGAAAAGAAAAAATACCCCGCAATGAGGTGTGATCATGCCGCAATCCCTTCTCCACTTCTCCATCCTGTTGGGAATCCAGGCACACACAGCACATGCCCAGCATGTTTGCAAGCCACCCAGGGCATGGACTTGAACCATGGGGTCAGCGATGTGTGATATGCTTCCCTTGACCACTAAGCCACGGGGCCAGCCATGAGCATTTGCAACCTCTGCTACCTGGGGACACTTGTAGAATGCATGGAGCAACAATTAGGAATTTCGGGCCAGCCTGTAGGTTCTGTCCACAGGGAGAAACCGCCCTCATTGTCTGATTCAGCATGTCTACACAGAAAGGCCAGGAAGGGCTCTGCCTCTCAGCGGGCCTGTGTCTCTGCCTCTCATAACTGATAAACAGTGGAGAAGTTGACTTCTTGGATTTCTCAGTATTTGGTCATCTTTCTGTTGAAGCCAAAACTTACTCGACAAAATGAGTCCAAACTGAAAACACATGCCTTTCTTTCAAATTCAGAAATTGTCACGCATTAGATACTACTACGATATTTGTGGAAAGAATGCAAAATAAGAAGTAAATTCATCAACAGCTGAGGGAACATTCAGGAAATAAATGAAGTCTGGCTTCAAGAGAGATCCATGTTTACATTCAGGAAATAAAAAGTCTGGCTTCAAGAGAGATCCATGTTTGTCCATGTTTGTGAAGTGTCTTCTGTGTTTTCTCCAAAGCAAAATGTTTCCATTCGTTTCTTGTCCACCTCACGGCGACCCTGGGAACAAGTGATGCCTTCTGTCCATCTTACAGATCAGGGTCTCGGCCACATCTCTGTGGGCTGCCCAGCCCGAGTCCAGGTAGCTGGCAGTGCCCGGTGTCACTAGGTACCCTACATTCAGTTTGAGAAACACTGTCCAAGGTGGGAAAGGTCTTCAGGAACACGAGCCAGGAACAGTTACTACATAGAGCAAGACCCTTCAGTGCTTAGTTCTCATGCAGAGACTGGGGGAGTTCCCTGGAGCAGAGAAGGACTTTGGACTCAGGCCTGGAATCGCACCCGGGCCTGTCGCTTTCCAACTATCTGCCCCTAGGCAGGTTTGCTCACCTCAGGAGCTCTCTACAGTGACAGGGAGGACTTCGCTACCCCACCTACACATTAGAAGGATTCCTGAATAATATACAGGGAGGGCCTTAGCAGTGTCACCCTGCAGTTGGTGAAGATCATGGCAGTCACGACTCCTGTTCATGAATGCTCCTTTGTAGCCAAGCCCTCTGTCCCCGTGGTATTGGGCCCTGCGGCGAGGGCCACGCCTGCGCACACGGTGATCTTCACCTGCGAGTCCCATGGCTTCTCCCCCCGCGACATCTCCCTGCGATGGTACAAAAATGGGAATGAGCTCTCAGACGTCCAGACCACTGTGGACCCCGCAGGAAAAAGCGTCTCCTACAATGTCTCCAGCACGGCCAGTGTGGTGCTGGCCCCCAGGGACGTGTGCTCTCAGATCATCTGCGAGGTGGCCCATGTCACCCTTCAGGGAGGCTCTCTTCTCCGTGGGACTGCAAACTTGTCTGAGACCATCCGAGGTAGATGACCCTCAACCCAGCCTCAGCCCACCCTGGTGGCCATCCTGCTCCCCCCTGGCTTTTACTCCAGGGCTGAATAGCCTGGAATCTCCTTCCTACAGCCCTGCCACCCGCCATGCCCCTAGATGTGCCACTGTTACCCTCATTTTCATCCCATGGGCCAAGACCCTTGCTAGCAGCTTCCTTTATTTTACCAGTAAGACCTGCAGTTAGAGAGCACTACTGGTGCTCAGTTTCCTTTATTTTACTGCAGTTATTTACCTGCATGCCAGGGGTTGTGACCATTGACTTCAGTATTACCCTAATAGGAGCTAGCAGTCCTTGAGCACCTACTGTGTGCTGGGCATCGTGCTCAGTGATCTTCTTCACAATCAAGGAATCCCCTCAGGGTCTGCGCATCAGCTGCATGCCTGGCCCTGTCCTGGGTGGCGCCCTGGCTGTGATGGTGGGAGCCGAGTTATGGAGCCCCTTCCCTGTCGTGCGTCTGTGCCGTGAGGTCAGAGCTCTGTCCCGTGCCTTTTCAGTTCCTCCCACCATGGAGGTCACCCAGCACCCCATGATGGCGGCAGGGAACCAGGTGAATGTTACCTGCCATGTGGAGAAGTTCTACCCCCAGAGCCTACAGCTGACCTGGCTGGAGAATGGAAAGGTGTCCAGAACAGAAACAGCCTCGACCCTCACAGAGAACAAGGATGGGACCTATAACCTGACCAGCTGGCTCCTGGTGAACTCGTCTGCCCACAGGGAGGGCGTGGTGCTCACCTGCCAGGTGGAGCATGACGAGCAGCCTGCGGTCAGCAGAAGCCATACGCTCAAGGTCTCTGCCCACCAGAAGGGCACACACACCTCCCCAGGTGAGGGCTCTCTCTCCAGTTGAACAAGGCCCCAGGTGAGGGCTCTCTCCAGTTGACCAGGCTCATTTCAATATTTATCTTTTCCTTGTAAAAAATTGTCTTTATTCATGATACAGTCTATGTATCTTTATTTGTAAAACTGAGGTGAACACCATCCACAGGGTCTGAACATGCAGCGAACCCCTTCCTCCTGTCCTTCCTCCTTCCTCCTGTCCCTCAGTCAATCAACTTTTGGACAATTGCACATCCCAGCGTGTTGCTAGCAACCAGGCCAAGGATTAGAACTCTTGTTACCATGTGAGACCCAACGTCCCTTGATAGTGAATTATTGCTATGCCATGGAGTCAGTCCAAAATTTATCTTCATTTTTTGTTAAAAGTAACATTCCTCCTGTCCTTCCTCCTTCCTCCTGTCCCTCAGTCAATCAACTTTTGGACAATTGCACATCCCAGCGTGTTGCTAGCAACCAGGCCAAGGATTAGAACTCTTGTTACCATGTGAGACCCAACGTCCCTTGATAGTGAATTATTGCTATGCCATGGAGTCAGTCCAAAATTTATCTTCATTTTTTGTTAAAAGTAACATTTCATACTAATGATAATAATTATTATAGCCAATGTTATTATAGAAAAACCTAGGAGTCTATAAATATTAAGTGGAAAAATATTGACCATGTGCGAATTTCAATTGCTGCTCAACCACCCTGTGAGCTTGCAGGTTTACAAGAAAAGAAACCAGGACTCTGAGCATGGAGGGTGTGGTTGAAGACTTCCTGTGGACCAGGTGATGGATCTAAACCAAAGAAGGTCAGCCTGAGGTCCCTGAGGATAGGATCACCACCAGTCTTCAGGCTAATTTGTGCTCATAAATGTTCGTCCTCTACTGGGCATTGCCCCAAAGACCTTCAGTTGGCCAGAATCCGCCTTTATATGACCAAAATATGAATGATTTTCTCCTCAAATACAACCAGGAGAGGGTCTCTACTCCGGAAGACATCTCAAGGGTCTAGGTTTCTCCCAGCATGAATTACTGTGATGGCCTCATCCACTGAGTCACACTAGGTTACTGATGTGTCCCTGTCCCTGCCTGCTTGCTGAGTAAAGACAAGAAGTGAGGAGGGACCGGAAGAAGGGAGATGAAAGGGCATGATCACATCCACTGCTATGTGGCTGTGTGTGCAGCATCCAGCTGCAAGTGGAGTCCATAATGGGTAGTCATAAAATTAAGTACATTAAAGAAAATAAAGCCAGTAATATTTTTATAGGTATTAAAATGAACAATAATTCCCTCCTATCTGGATTCAAACATTCCTAAGTGTATAGCTTTTCTGGGGACATAATATTTGGTTTCATATCATCTTTAAATGCTTAGAATTTTTTTGGTGAAAATAGTTGGGCCTTCAGATACTTTTTTGGAAATTTCAAAATCAGAACCTGGATTTTTAATCCTTTATAGCTATTCATCTTATTTATTTTATAGTGGGCAAATTGTAATAGGTATACTTTCTGGGGAATTTTTTTTCTATTTTATGGCATTGGGGTGAATTATACTGTTTCTTCTTAATGAACTTCCTTTCTGTCAGTACAGCATCATCCAGGCACATTGAGTTCGGGAGTGTCTGCTGCTTTGCTTTGAAGGTGGTGGGAAGGTTTGAGTCCTCACATTTTCCAGGTTTCTTTTGTCTCTTAAGACCCTGAGAATCCTTCTCCTCTCTTTTTTCTTTTTCCCTTCACCATTCAGTTACCATAGAGTAGTTCTTCATTCTTTTTCTGCTTGTCTCCCAGAGACGTTATGCACTTGAAATTCTTTCTGTCCTTGGGAAGTATTCTCTCCTCCCTGAATTGAGTTTTCACTTAGGCAATGAGGAGCTCTCACCTGATGTCATGTTAGTGGCTTCAACAATACAAACTGCTCACCTTACAGTTCTCCAGACCTAGAGTCTAAAATGAGTGGGCAGGACTGTGTTCCTTCCGGAGTCTCCTATGGAGACCCAGTTCCTTGCCTTTAGTAGCTTCTAAACACCATTGACCTCGTTTGGAGAATGGCCCCAAATCCTCTGACCTCGGCTTCCCTGCTCATGTCTGTTTTGATTCTCAGTCTCCTGTCAACCACTTTCACTTGCAAAGATGCCTGTGATTACCTTGAGCCCTCCTGGACACACCTCCAAAACCTCCCCATCTTAAAGGCTTAAGCACATGTGCGAGGTCCCTGTTACCATGAAGGGTGACATATTCACAGATTCTGTACGAACCTTTGACATCAGACATACTTCCCAATGCCCTAGAGGATCAGAGCTCTCATCTGCACCACACATTGCAGTATTTTCAAGTACAGGGTGGATTTCATATTTCTGGTGGCATCTCCAGTAACCCTTAGTCTCTAAGCTGGCTGCCCTGCTGTGGGTCTTCTGTGTGGTGGTGGGTGGCAGCCAGGGGACACACTGTGCACCAGGATCTGGTGATCTCTCTTTTTTAACACTTTCTCTCACTTTCACTTTTTACACTTTCTCTCATCAGGACAGTAGGTTTTGGGTAGAATTCTCTTCCTATTTTTGGTTTCTTTCTCTTTTGTTTTAGAAGAACATTTGGAATATAAGGGACTGTGATGCTGCCATTGTCCTCAGCAACCCAGGAGTAGACTGATTTCCTTGGAGTGCTTTGACCCCCATGTCTCCCCTACCCCCCATCAATTGTCAGGGTCCCAGAACAACATCAGAGCAGAGCCATGATGTTGAGGTTTCTCTTCCTCTGTAATTACACTACTTTTGCCATTATGTCCAAAGCCAAGTCCTCTACTCACTCTGTCCTCTGGCTCCAGGAGGTGAGCACATACGATGCTGCCAAGAGGACTTCTGGGTTCACACTGAGCCTGCAACTCCTTATGGATCCACTTGCAGCCTTTCGTGGTTTTCCCACAAGGTGTTGATGCCCAGCAGCAGCATTCAGTACACATCCTCAGAGACCATTTCCTGACTCTCCCTCAAATGTCTGCTGCCACAGAATTCCATCCCAGGTCAGGTCCAGGGAAAGCTCTCACAATTGCACTCCTGTGACCCCAGTCTCACAGCCCCACTCACCACGTATGGTGGTTCATCCTTGCCAGACAGGTGTGATGATCAGGTTATAAATATACATTCTCTCTCCACCCTTTATCTCAAGGACAACTGGCAACCTGAGATAGAATAAGAACTAGGACCTCTTCACTGTCCTTCTATTATGGGGTGGAACTAGAGAAGGATGCTGGCTTTAAAACTTCACAATTGTAACAACCCCAGCGAGCCTCAGATCAGATGGCGTATGTGGGAGGCCTCATGGAACAGTCCCAGGTCACCTGCACTAATACTTATCTTTTGATTTCCAGGTACAGAGTCACCTACTTCTATTCTCATAGCTCTACTCCTGGTCCCCAAAGTGCTGCTGGCAGTCAGTGTCTCTGCTGTCCACATCCATAAGAAGTGGAAGGACAGACAATAAGTTGTGGGTGAGGTAGGGGTGCCAAGGGCTCAAGGCCTCAACGAGAATGAAGACATTAAGAAGCTTCAATCTACTCTGTCCAAGCAGCTTCCCTCCCAGGACATATGACCACCCACAGCTCCTGTGACCCCCGTCTCACAGTCCTTGATGCTCCAGAGTTGGGTTTCACCCATGCGTCTGAGCAGGGGCTCTGGTGCCTCACCCTGGGACCAACCCAGGACACCTCCCTGGATTGTTGGGATCAAGCCTGGTATAACGTATTAGCCTATTTCTCATCTAGCCGTCTGGGTTTGGCTCTCAGGAACTGCCTGTCTTTTAGATTCCTGCCTCCCCCAATACCTGGCCCTGTTGAGCTCTCCGTTGCCTCTTAATACAAGTGAATCTGCATCCCAGTTGTTAAGAATAGTAAGTGTTCACTTTTCAGTTTGTTGAAGTGGCCTTCTCCTCACACCAGAAAGAAGCTTTTCCTCCTCTACTCATGATGAGTGAACTAGTTCTTCTCTGCTCCTTCATCCTTCCCAGTTCTATGGCTCATGGTTTCAATGCTGTGGCAGTCCAAAGCTTTGGTTTCACCCTTGACTCTCTTTTATATCCTTTCTAAAATTCTCCCTTTGAAATCCTTAATGTTCCGTGGTAAGATGATAAATGTTGAATAACTGACTCTGAAAAGAGAAAAAAAAGTCCTGATTTGTAGATTTGTAGAGCTTACCAATTTCTGTAGTGTAAATGCTCCCAGTATTGCCAGTTTCAAGCTACCGACAGCTTAACAATTAGATTGCAACATTCCTGAAAACTGATCAGTCAGGTCTTATAGGCCAGGCCTGTCCTGCCCCAGCACAACTCAGCTATGTGCATAATCCAATCCACACTTCTCACCTCCATCACTGCTCCTGGTCCCAGCCAGCATCATCTGTTCCTGGACCAGTGATGGAAGTCCAACCAGATTCCCTGTTTTCAGCTCAGCAAATTTCCAAAAATATCACTCTTCATCTTCTTCTCCAACATGTCTGTCCTTCACTCTCTGCTTTCTTCCAGGTCTCTATTCAAGGTCATTTTATGAAAGGCACCTCCTGTAAATCACCTCACTAAAATGTCAGCTCCTCTTTCTCCCCCTGGAATTTAAATTTTCTTAACTGGATTAATCTTTTTCCTTAGCATTCATTATCATTGGTATTCTCAAACGCAGTCTTCCCTTTGCACACCGTGCAGGATTGCATAGATGATGGTGGCCACTGGACCCTGGAAAGTGATCTCCATAATCAATGGGAAAAATAATTTTGGTAACCTTCACAAGAAATTGTCAAAATATTAGACACTGTCATACTATTTGTTACCATTATTTTTCTTCTGCCATTTATACATGTACCTTATATATTTTTTTCAGATATTAATATTGCTAAACCAAACTTTCTGAAGCTAAACCAAACTTTTGAAATATTTCACTTTTCTTTTTCTATGTCAGTGTTTATTTTCATTTACATCATTATGTTTAGGTGTGTTTCTATGTGCTGTGCCTGGGGAATTTCC